AGTTCAAGAGACCAGAAGTCTGAAATCAAAGCATCACCAGAGTGATTCTTTCTGGAGGCTCTGAGAAAGAATCTATTCCATGCCTCTTTCCTGGCTTCTGGTAGCTGCTAGCAATTTTTGGCATAGCAGCGTCCCTCCAATGTTTGCTTCCATTGATATGTGGCCTTCTTCCTTGCGTGTCTGTGTACCTGAATCTCCCTCTCCTTTCCCTTATAAAGACACTGGTTATTGGATGCAGGGCACACCCTAATCCTATATCACTTTATGTTAACAGATTACATCTTCAAAAACCCTATTTCCAAATAAGGTCACATTCTAAAATTCTGGGTAGATATGAATTTTGGGGGACAGTATTCCACCCAGTATACCACTGATTATAGAGTATCATCTGAAAATCAGTATGGTCTCTCTGTGTGTATTAGGTGATCTTTTATGAAGATTAATTTGAAAATGAATAGAATGGTAAGATGGTACTTGACATTTTTGTTGGGGTGGTTCATCAAGTTAAGCTAGCTCACACACTCTTTTTGTTTATTTTATTCACATTGTTAAGAAAAAGGCAGAGAAATCTGTGGACAGGAAAGGGTTGGGCAGAGCCTAACTCTTCTGAACTCTGACTCGCATGTCTGCTTTTAATCCAGAGCCAAATAACTATCGGACCATGCATGGCCGGGCAGTGAATGGCAGCCAGTTGGGAAAGGATTACATCCAGCTGAAGAGCCTGTTGCAGCCCATCCGGATTTACTCCAGAGCCAGCTTGTATGGCCCTAATATTGGGCGGCCCAGGAAGAACGTCATCGCCCTCCTAGATGGGTAGGTCAGATTATTTAGCAGTTCTCATACCATTGCTCGTTAAATGTAATGAATTAATGTATTTGTATTTCTCCTGGTTATTTTGGTCTTAAAAAGGCCACAGAGACTTTTTCCATAGTGATTTCCCGCACTCTAAATTAGGACTTCTCCATCCAACAGTGGAATAACGTCTCATCTCTCCAGGCCTTTCACAGTCAGCAGAAGGTGGTGGAATTAGGGAGAGGCATCGCAATCTCCAGGATAGCTTGGAAGGCATGCATTGTTTCAAAAAACACATTTAAAATTACAGCATTTCGTAGCATCATTTTATTTTTTTAATAAAGCAAAATATTATCTACTCTATTCTTGTGTATTCTTATAGAAAATAAAGCTTGACAAAATCCTGGCCAATAAAGCTGAGTTAAAATGTTGAGAAACACTACAAATACTTGTAGATTAAAGCACAACTTAACTGATAGGTTTATTAGCAGATATTCGAGAGAACTGTTGTCATGTGTGATTTATTTAATTTTGACTGAATCTGATAATCATTTTTGAAAGCGTTGGTTATGGATGAGGCTCTATGTTAAATGCTCTCTACCCCAGTCCTGCTGATGGGCCAGCCCAGATTGAATAGTGGGTATAACCCATCCAGGCAGGTTAGGTCCAGGTATGCTGGGTTTGAAGGAATGGCAGAGGGAATGGCATGAGGAAGGCTGAAGAGGTATGTTGAATCCAAGACCCAAAGTGGAGATGCAACTGAAACGGCAAGGGTGGGAGTATGAACAATGAAGCTGGGAGAGTTGGGAGTTCGTCTGGAACACAGAGCACGCACCAAGGCAATACTCTCAGATAAGTATATTTATTCCTGCAAATTCAAAGATGGGTAAGACATTTTCCAGTGACGTGCACCACCCAAGTTAGGTTAGCTACGTGCTATATGAACACAAACAGTATACAAGGAGAGAGAAACCTTTGGCCAACCTCTCAGATGGATGGCCTTTGTGGCTTGCGTACTCGTGTGACTCTCTCTTCTCCCTTTTGTGATGTCTCTGTCTTGATCGAAGCTAATGAACATAGCAGATATTACTGAAGGTTTGGGAAGGCAGCAGGATTTACACTATAACAACATTAACAACCTGAAATTTAGTTTTAGGCATTTTCCTCTTTACAAAGAATCCCAAAGTCCTCCTTCAACTGCTGTTCTTTTCCCACTCTTCNGGCTTGCAGCATCTTTTCATATACGTATTTGCCATCTGAATATCTTCTTTAGTGAGGTGGCTATTAAGGCCTTTGGCCCATTTTTAAAATCTATTTGTTTATTTCTTATTGTTACATTTTAATAGTTCTTTGTGTATTTTAGAAACCAGTTCTTTATAAGATGTGTCTTTTGCAAGTATTTTCTCTCAGTCTGTGACTTGTTTTCTCATTCTCTTCACATTGTCTTTTGCAGAGCAGCAGTTTTCAATTTTAATGAAGTCTAGATTATCAATTATTTTTTTCATGGATTGTACCTTTGATGTCATCCCATATTTTTTTATATATTATATTTTCATTTTCATTCCATTAAAAAATAGTTTCTAATTCCGCTTGTGATTTTTTTTCTTTGACTCTGGATTATTTGTTCAATTTCCAAATATTTATAGATTTCTCAAATTTCTTTCTTTTGTTGAATTCCAGTTTAATTCTGTTGCAGTCAGGGCACATATAAGTACACTATATGATTTTATCCCTTTAAATATATGAGACTTGTTTTATGTCCTAGCATATGGTCTATCCTGAAGGATGTTACATATGCACTAGAAGAGAATGTGTATCCTGCTGCTGTTGGGTAGAGTGTTCTGTGGATATCAATCAGGTCAAGTTAGCTGATAGGGTTAGTCAAGTTTTGTATATCCTTGCTGATTTTCTGTCTCATTGTTCTATCCATTATTGAGAATGTGATATTGAAGTCTCCTATTGTTGAATTTTCTACATTTCTTTTCTCTTTGATCAATTTTGCTTCATGTATTTTAGTGTTCTGTTATTGGTATGTATATATTTATAATTGTTGTATCTTCCCCATAAATTGACTCTTTCATTATAAAATGCCCCACATTGTTTCTAGTAACAATTTTGTCTTAAAGTCTATTTTTCTGATATTAGTATAGTCATTTCAGTCTCTTATGGTTACCATTTGTATGGTATATCTTTTTCATCCTTTTAGTTTCAACCTATTTGTGTCTTTGACTTTAAAGTGTGTCTCTTTAGTTGGATATTACTTTTTTTCAGCTTAACGATTTCTGCTTATAATTGGAGTGTTTAACTTATCTACATTTAATATAATTGTTCGTATAATTGAATTTACATCTATCAGCTTGCTGTTATTTTTTATCCTGTTTCTCCTTTATTGCCTTTTTATGTAAAACAGATATTGTCTCAGATACCATTTTAATTTTTTGTTTTTGTTCTGCTTTAGTTATTTTCATAGTAGTTTCTTATACTACATTTTAACTCATTACAATGATAGAGTGATAATAACTTAATTCCAGTTAAATATAGAAACCTTTACTCCGATAGAATTCTATATCCCCCTCTTCTGTGCCATTATTATTCTAAATATCACATCTTTATATGTTATAAGCCCAACAATACAATTTTCTAGTTTTTGTTTCATGCAAGTCTTATCTAAATTAGTTAAGAGTAATGCATATTTTTAACTGTCTTTTATATTTACCTATATAATTACCTTTACTGGTATTCTCTCTTTCTTTGTATGGTTTTGAGCCACCATCTGGTGTCATTTCCTTTCAACCTAAAAGACTTCCTTTTTTATTTCTTGTACGGCAGATTTTCTCATAATGAACTGTCCTTTGTTTTTCTGGGAAGGCCTAAATATTGCTTTCAGTTTTGAAGGATAAAATGCTGCATATAAAATTCTTGGTTGACTTTTTTCCCTTCAGCATTTGAATATATCATCCCACTGTCTTCTGGCCTCTATTATTTCTGGTATAAATTCAGCTGTTAATTTCATTGTGTTCCCATATATGTGTGAAGAGTCATTTCAGTCTTGAGATTTCCATTTGATCATATT